GGCCTCAGTCTGCACAAAAGATCGCTCTTGTACTGGATAAAGCGCCGAAGCATTTGCAGCCCGATCTTGTTGCTTTGGTGCCCAAGTTGGTTGAGCACTCAGAGCATCCACTTGCTGCTTTTGCACTTATAGAACGACTTCAAAAACCAGATGCAGAACCTGCTTTGCGGACACCTGTAAGATTTATTTACTTTTTGTTGTTCAAAGATAATTTGCTTTCCCCAGATGTGTATTTATATCTCTTTAATACAGAGCATCTTACATATACTATGGAATCTAGCTAGCATGTGCAACTTTAAACAGCTTAGCCTATTGCTACATTGTTCTTCTGTTAAGGTATCTTTATCTTGTTTCTCAGGTTTTTGATGCTCTTAGTCAACTGGACTGTGGCAGTGAAGTGTGGGAACGAGTTTTATCTCAATCTTTTGAGTTTTTGCCAGATTCAAATGATGAGCCTCTTGCTGCAACCATAGATTTTATATTTAAAGCTGCATCCCAGTGCCAACACCTCCCTGAAGCGGTATGCGTATGACGTAATTCTTAATTCAAAATTAAAAAGCCCAATTATATTATTGTATTACTTTTGGCATTCCTTTCTCTTCACATTTGTAACCATCATTGTTCTCTATTATAGGTCAGATCGGTTCGTGTTAGGCTAAAGAATTTGGGTGCCGAAGTTTCTCCTTGTGTTCTTGAATTTTTGAGTAGAACTGTAAATAGCTGGGGAGATGTTGCTGAAACTATACTTAGAGATATTGATTGTGATGATGATTTTGGCGACACTTGCTCGACATTGCATTCTGGTCTTTTCTTGTTTGGTGAACGTGGACCGATTTCTGAACGGTTTCATTTGGTGGATGAGCAGACTTTCCGTGCGAGTCGTCACTTTTCTGACATTTACATCTTGATTGAGATGTTATCCATACCTTGTCTGGCTGTTGAAGCCTCTCAAACATTTGAGAGAGCTGTAGCTCGTGGTGCCATTGTGACTCATTCTGTGGCCATGGTTTTGGAAAGGCGCCTTGCTCAAAGATTGAATCTTGATGCTAGATTTGTTGGGGATAATTTTCAGCAGACCGATGTTGCAGCAGAGGACGATGCCAATGAACAGCTGAGAGTCCAACAAGACGATTTTACTTCCGTTCTTGGTCTTGCTGAAACATTGGCCCTCTCTAGAGATCCGTGGATTAAGGGATTTGTGAAGATGCTGTATACATTATTATTTAAATGGTATGCTGACAAGACTTATCGAGGGAGAATGCTAAAGAGACTTGTAGATCAAGCCACTAGCACTACAGATAGTAGCCGTGAAGTTGATCTAGATTTGGATATCTTGGTGACCTTGGCTTCTGAAGAACAAGAAATTATCAGACCAGTTTTGAGTATGATGCGGGAGGTTGCTGAGCTTGCAAACGTTGATCGTGCTGCTCTGTGGCACCAGTTATGTGCCAGTGAAGATGAAATAATTCGCATGCGTGAAGAAAGGAAAGCCGAAAATGCTACTATGGTTAAAGAAAAAGCTGTTCTATCAGAAAAACTAAGTGAATCTGAAGCTACTAACACTCGTCTTAAGGTACTTGTCATCTTAACTGGTGATATGGCTACGATTATCGCATCTTGTTTATTCTTTTCGGAGAATGTTAGAATTGATGCATGTCATGATGTGGCAGTCTGAAATGAAGGCTGAGATTGACCGCTTTGCTCGAGAAAAGAAGGAACTATCCGAACAAATACAAGAAGTTGAGAGTCAGCTTGAGTGGCACCGCTCCGAGCGAGATGATGAAATCAGAAAGCTCACTACAGAGAGGAAAATGCTTCAGGATCGTCTTCATGATGCAGAGACACAACTCTCTCAATTGAAGTCCCGAAAACGTGATGAATTGAAGGTATCAAATTTGTTTTTCTTTCTTGTCATCTCAAATGAGCTCACACCTTTTATCTAAACTGGTGTTCTTATGTATTTGATAGTTTCTCAAAAGGCTCTCTCTTTCTCATATCAGGTTTTTGATGCATCAAAAATTGGTTTTAGCTTTTTATATTTAAGCATATATATATATATATTATGATATGCGCTCAATTTTTGTTTGCATGCCATTTGAGTTTTGAAATTTTCAGTTGACATCGTGTTATGAATTGTGATTTTGGATTGTGCAATAGGGATTTTGCCTTCCTATGTCTGGAGCATGTTTTGGTAATATGAACTTGGATTCAGTATCTCGTCTACAGAAGCTGCATGTTTAAATGATTTTCGTACGAAAGTCTTTTTGAGTATTCATTCATTTTGAACTCGCAGAAAGTATTAGTAGGCATAATTATTTGATCCTTGTTTTTTATTATTTCTTCATTTATTGTTTTTGTCTTGCTTTTTCTACTAAAACATACCTTTTTCTAACTACAACGGATGAATGTGACAGAAATTGGTGAAGGAGAAAAATGCTCTTGCTGAAAGGTTGAAAAGCGCTGAAGGTGCACGTAAAAGATTTGATGAAGAACTTAAACGGTATGCCACAGAGAATGTAACCCGAGAGGAAGTTCGACAGTCTCTTGAGGATGAAGTACGGCGATTGAAACAAACAGTGGAGCAAACAGAAGGAGAGAAACGGGAGAAGGAAGAGCAGGTTGCTCGGTGTGAGGCGTATATTGATGGGATGGAATCAAAATTACAGGCCTGCCAGGTTTTTGCCTCAAAATAGCGATCGCTCTTCTTTTCCTTTTTTCTTTTTGAGTCACCTGGTCTTCTAATTATCTGTATATCACCAGAAGCAGCTAGCTTTGGTGCTTATTGAATTTAGCTTCATAATTTGATTTATCTAATATTCAGGATAATATCACCCTTATTAATGCTTCTCCTTATCTCCTGTAGCAATATATTCACACCCTCGAGGCTTCACTTCAGGAAGAAATGTCTCGGCATGCTCCTCTGTATGGGGCTGGTTTGGAAGCTCTATCAATGAAGGAGTTGGAGACACTTTCAAGCATCCATGAAGAAGGCCTCAGGCAGATCCATACCCATCAGCAGCAGCGTAAAGGCAGTCCAGCCGGCAGTCCCCTTGTGAGCCCTCACGCTCTCCAACATGGTCATGGGTTATATACTTCAACACCACCCCAGATGGGCGTCGGATTGCCTCCTCCTCTCATCCCAAATGGTGTCGGAATCCACAGCAATGGGCATGTGAATGGTAATGTTGGACCCTGGTTCAACCATTCGTAGAATTTTGGTCATAGACTCGCAGCTCTCTTTTGTTCCAATGTCGGCATTGGTTCGCCCAACAGAATGGGGTGAAATTGCTATTTTTTGCATCGGTTTGTTGGCATTTTGGCTGTTGGAACTGTTGGAACCGAGTTGAAAAGAGAAAGGAGAAGGAAAAAGGAATAAGATGATAAAAGTTAGGTTTAGGGCTTAAGAAAATGTGAGGAAGAGAGTCCAATAGAAGTAACAGTTGCAAATGCCAATACTCATTTGCGCCCTTTTTGTTCCCTTGAAGTCAATTATAGGCTTTTTATTTATTTAAATTTTTTGTTATGCCGGTTTTAGGTTTATTTAAATTTTTTGGGTGTGATGTAGTTCTTCTGTTTTGTCACAGAGGCAAATCAACTGGTTTATCGACCGCTTCATAAAAGCGTTTTTGCTAGAATAGCAACATGACATATTTACTGATTATGTTGTTGATCACTTTGGTAAGGCAAACCGAACCAGACCAAGTCCTAACGTCTAACATGCATCAACAAGGTTCATCTCCATTAGGAAGAGAGTAATGCTAGGTAAATTAAATTTACAAATTAAATAATGTGTCGTCAATAAAAAATAAGCACGTTAATTAATACTTAAGTGATAATTTAATCATCAATTTTTAAGTTATTTAGTTTACAAAATTTAATCTTTTCAAATGGTCAGTACCGCGTATTCAAATAGTACTACTCTTCCAGAAATAGTCGGGAAGATTCTTTTGAAGTAATTTTAGGCTATGTTCAAATGAGAGACAGGTCTAATATATTAGAGTCTCTATTTAATATATTATCGCAACCAATCAACGGCTAAGGTATGACTCGACCGGATAGATCGATAACTAACAGATCAGATGGATTGTATTGCGTTATCTTTGACTGGATTGCTAGCGTACCGCGGGAGTAATGATTAAAAGGTAGACAAATTAAACTTTCCATGACGCAAATAGAGATAAACACATATATAATTAGTAATACAAGTTTGCCACAATAACCAAAAGGTAGATAAATTAAGTTTCACATGCAAACCAAGATAATTGGAAAATTTGGTTAATTCCAGCTGGTTAAGGTTTTGGTTAAAAGTGCTTTTTTCAAAGACATTACCAACTAAAAGTGCTTTAGTGCAATGTTCTGTAACACACCTTACATCCTAATCTTTTGCAAAAAGTCAACGGTCTATCTCAATTTGAATTATGGACATATTCTTCACAAATTTATACTACTACGTTTTTAAGCAATAGGCCTAGGGTTGATACTTGATATATTTACAACAAGTAATTGTCATGTTACGTGTTATATTCAGTTGAGATAATAATTGATGAATACTATTATTCGATAATGAGACAGTTTGAAGTTTATCAAAAAAAACAAAATGAGTGATTCTTGCAACATAATATGGTGACGTGTGTCAGCTATATTTGCACCTACTGCATGTGAAACTCATATATTCAATATCAATAAATAACAATAATTATGTGTCACATTTAGTTGGGATAGAGTTAATGCATATAGTATTATCCATAGTTTGAAGTTTATCAAAAGGAAGAGTGATTCTTGCAACGTGATTTGGTATTTTGGTGACATGTTTCGTTGACGTGTTTTGGTGACGTGTGTGAGTTATTTGCATGAGGGTCTCCATGCATGTGGAAAGAAGGGATACACGATCGTGGAAAATATGTGCATGGACGTTAACTAGTTAGATCTATATATACGATAACTGGGAAGAAGAAACAATCAAAACAAACATAACTTGATAAATCTCATTTGACTTTTGTACGTGTCCTAATCTTTTCTGTAGATTTTTCTTCGAACTCATCTCTTCCACACGAATCGGTCATCAGTTTTCCAACCTATTTAAGCTAATCATCCACAACCCCAAAATATTAATCGCCAGCCAGCAACTAGGAACCAGAAATTCTCTCTTTAATTATCTCTCTCTCTTTCTCTCTCTTCCTCTCTCTCTCTCTCTCTCTCTCCCCCCCCCCTCTCTTTTAGCATTCCCAATATTTTTCTGGTTAATTGGTCATCAGCTAAGCTTCGCTTGTTGTTCCACTGTTGCTTGATTACCTGTGTAAGCTGCTGTTACCTCACTTGGACCTTTTAGCTTTTTTTTCAATATTTAATAGTTATTAGTTTAGAGGATGCATGGAGTAGAAATAGGCTAGAGATACAGCGTTCGAAACCGTCATTTGCAACAAAAAAGAAATGTTATTAGTTTTTCGAGGCCAAAAAAAAAAAAAAAGGTATAGTTAGCATGGAGGATTTACTGGAGCATTGGATATCGTCCCAATTTTTGTTCTTAAGTTTGGCCGAAATTGTTGCATTAATTATCGTGAAAGTTTTTGTAGTTTGGCTCTAACTATTTAAGCATCTGTTGAGCTGTTTGGCTAATATTTGTGGTGCGCTATAACCATGAATAGTTCACAGCCTCAAAGTTCAAACCCTTTATTGGAAATTCTTTGACCAAGTATTGGTGCCTCATGTTTTGACTCTCTCTCTCTCTCTCTCTCATATGTGCAGCATGAAGAAAGTTTGTTGGCCTTACTTCGATCCTGACTTTGATAATCTCCCAGAGAGGATATATGGCCCTGCGTAAGTAATCTCTTAATTAATTTGATCACTAATTGCATTCACATACAAGACTTCTTGATCGTAAGTGATCTCTCGGTAATTAATTTCCGCAGTTGTCAAGTAAGCATCGACAATGAAGGGATGGAAGATTGCACAGTAGTAAAGGTGGATAGCGTGAACAAGCAAGGGCTTCTCCTGGAAGTGGTGCAAGTTTTGACAGACATGAACCTCACCATCACTAAAAGTTACATTTCTTCTGATGCTGGATGGTTCATGGATGGTATGAACATATCAAACTTCATCACCCATCAACCCCGTAAATTAATTTCTCAATATATATTAGAAACCCCCTGTATAATTTTTTTTTTTAATTTGTTAATCACTATCTTAGTTATGATCACTAATTTTGTGCACGCTTTTGCAGTTTTTCATGTGAAAGATGAACATGGCAACAAAGTTACAGACCGGACTGTCCTTAACTATATTCAACAGGTAATTAATTTGGTTAATTGGTTTGTTCATGAATCATATTTCGAATAATTAATGCTATTTGTATCATACTTATTGAATACATTGTTGAGTATCTCTTAATCAGTGAGTCCGGCCCTTAGATGATTTATTTATGTAGATCCACAAGTACACACAAATATGCTCATCAATTTGATAAAAGTTATAAAATGACTAATGCAGGCCATAGTTACAGCCACTGGCCCCCCAGACTTGGCCAAGTCCTATGCCAACAACCACCCTATTTTATTCGAACCCGAAAACCCTATTGAACACACCAGTGAAAATTCTAGCGAGCACACTACCATTGAAATGACCGGTACAGACCGGCCCGGTCTGTTTTCGGAGATCTCCGCTGCCCTGGCGGATCTCCAATGCAACATAGTAGAAGCGCATGCATGGAGCCACAATGCCCGCCTGGCATGTGTTGCTCAAATATCTGATAAATCAACCGACACCCCAATCGACGACCCCCGACGCATTGCCACCATAGAAGGCCATCTCATCACCGTCCTCCGTGCCACCACAGCCCTCAGCCCGTTTGGGAAGGAACCCAATTGTCAACAAGAAGTGAAGACCTCTGGGCTTATGGGAGGAGGAGATAGTAATCATAATATTCACCATGGCACCATGAGTACTAATGTGGACCGTAGGTTGCACCAGCTCATGCTTTCTGTGAGGGACTTTGATGGGCCTCACTTGGGGCCTGCAAGCTCGCCAAGGACGCCCTTGGGGTTGGATAGTGAGGAGAGTCGGAAGCCAGTGGTTTGGATTGAGAGTTGTAAGGAAAAAGGGTATTCAATGGTGACTATCGAGTGCAAGGATCGGCCGAGGCTCATGTTTGATACTGTGTGCACCCTCACTGACATGCAATATGTAATTTTCCATGCTTCTGCTAGTGCCCAAGAAGGTTATTCCTTTCAGGTAAATTCATATCTTCACGATTCCTGTACTACAAGCAAGTGTTGCTATTTGTACCACATTTACTAACCGCATTCCTCACAGCCAACTTAATTAGTAGAAGTTGAGTCTGACTTCAATTAGAAAAGTGATCAGCAATATTGTGGTCGATATATGTTGTTCAAATAGTTTCGTATACCCTATGCACTTGAATTCGTACTTTTACTTGTAAATTGACCACAATGTATTATGTTAATGGAGACTAACTAACCAACGAATGTTCTTTCTATAGGAGTATTTTATTCGACACATCGACGGGGATGCCCTGTGTACTGAGAGTGAGAAGGAAAGAGTAATAAAATGCTTAGAGGCTGCTATTGAGCGTCGGGTTTGTGAGGTGAGTACGGAGCTCGCATTTATTAGATAAGAGATGATATATATATATATATATATATATATGCTGTGTGATAGTAGCTTCTAATACTGATTAGAAGCAGCACTGATTTCTATGAATATAACTTAACAGGGTGTTCGGGTAGAACTATGCGCAGACAATAGGATAGGGTTGCTCTCGGATATAACTAGGGTTCTACGGGAGAATGGACTTGCGGTTGTTCGAGCAGATGTAGCAACGCAAGGAGAAAAGGCCGTAAACGCCTTCTACGTCAGGGATATTTCAGGCAAAGAAGTAGTAGACATGGATTTGATCGAGTCGATGAAGAGAGAATTAGTGGGTGAAAATCCAATAGAATTTCAAGTCAAGAATGACACATGGATGAGACCGAACTCACTTGAAAAAGGGTCGTCCCCTCTCTCTAATTTTGGAGACATGCTGAAATCTCAGATAGAGCGATTTTCGTACAAGTTTGTCAAGACCAAGTAGGAGGAATCGAACCATTGAATGCATGATGTACATACGTAGAAAATCACCATCTCAGGCCATTTCCAAGGGTTGTATATACATTACGTGTTAAGGGAAGCATTATTTCTAGGCTCTTAGGTTGAATATGTGGTTTGTACAAAAATAATAATAATAATAATTTTTTTTGTCAAAGGTTTGTGCAAAAATAATTGAGCACATACTGTTTTTTTTCCTTCTTTTTTCTTTATCAATAAGTGAAAATTGTATACAACCCTTCAAATTACTGAAGGATAATTGAAGGTTAATGCTCTTAGGGTTGTAACTAGTAAATGTGAATATTGAGCACATATTGAAGGATAATGCTCTTATGATAATATCGTGTTAGGGTTGTAACTAGTAAATGTGAATATTGAGCATTATCCTTCAATATCCTAAGAGCATTATTTACAACCCTAAGTAATTAGTAAATGTGAATACATGTCGGATTTATATAGGAAAGTAAAAATCTGTATCTTTTAATTCGTGCACCTATATGCATGTGATGTTATTCAGTACTCAATCACCATATATATAAACAAAAGAAGATAATTATCTCGGCAAGTCCAAGGTTAATTCTCCTAAGCCAAACGGAGTGCAATGTCATATGAAAGACATCAAACCTCTTAGCCGATTGGTTCAACTCAAAATGTCTCCTCACAACCCTCAAATTCTCCACCAGCCACCTATACTTCTCCGGAACACCCATCAGCACCTCCTTCAGCCGCCAAATCTCTGAAACCTCAACCTTAACCGAAAACGCCTCCCACCTCAGCACCTCGCTAAACGGCAGCGCATAGTGCTCCGATACAATCACCAGCACGCACTCCGCATTAATGGCCTCAACAATTCTACGGCTGGCCACTTCATGGCCTCTAGGGCACAGGCAAAACTTGGACTTGAGCATCATGGAGTCGTAGTCTAGGCCTTTGGGGAGGTCTTCATGAATTTGAAGGTCTTTGTGGCGGTTTTTCCAGTGGACCGGGAGGATGGGTCTTATCGGGCCGTGGAGGCCGCGGGCGAAGAAGGCCAGGTAGGGAGGCGGAGTGTGGAGCGGCTGCGGTGAGATGAGTTTGGAGGAGACTTTGCCGCCGTAATTTCAGGGAAGGAAACGTCCTTTTGAGGGTTAAGCTTTCGGAGGTGTTGGCGTTGCAGAGGACTCGGATTGATGTGTCGTGGAGGAGCGGGTTTCCTGCTGCGGTGCCTGATATTTAGTTGGAAAATTTTCATTTAATCTCTTGTAACATAGTTTCATTTCATGAGAACTAATAGCAAACCCTTTATCCCTCCCATCCCCCTCCAAGTCTTTTATCTTTGGCTCGATTTGATTTTTTATCTTTTACCCATTTAATCAAAATCAAAATGAAAAGATGTGATTGAGAATCTAAGATAAAAGAATGCCTTATATGCAGCAAATTCATCGCCACGAGATGTTTCTTCAATAATGCATTTTTATGTGTAGTTTCTCTTCGTATGACAAATTATTATTGTAATAGAATGTCACAATGGTTATAAGCTTGTTCCATAAGTTGCTATATGACCTAAGATAGTCCTCATTGCATTTATTCTTTTCAATGACGCAATTTTCAATAATGATGTACATAACGACTAGTTTAGGTTGTAAATAATAATTTTCAACTATATAACGTACCCTTTTCTTTTTATTTTATTTTATTTATATTATTTTTTATATATGAGTGATATTAGAAAGAGAGATAAAATAGTGACGTTGAATGTATGAATAAATATTCTTAAATACATGAGCTTCTAGCACCTTACACAGTACTAATAATTACTTATGATCATGTGAGTGTGGTATACCAAATTTCTTTTCTTTTTCCCCTTTTTTTAGTTTCAAACAATTTTGGTTAATTTATTTTCAGTATTTTTAATGATAATATGGAAGGGCGCAAGACTTTTCGGCTCATTGCAGAGCCCTACTAATTAGATGACCATTCCACTGATAAACTTTCCCATGCTTCGAGTTACAAACTCAGAAACTTCAAAGTACAACGTCATTTTACATCCTACCCCATAACTATATATCCAAGCATCCCAAGAAAGTTCTGATCACCAAAGCATATTACACAAGCAAAACAAATCAATTAAAGGCAGACATGATCGAGAGAGGACTCGAGAGAGAAACTAACCCAGTCACGGCAGGCAAGCATGAAGTGGTCCGCCCCAAGAGTCCTATTCCAAAACTGTGCCTCACAGAAACCACCCTCAAATAATCGGACACAAAGTCCCTCAGAGGATGAGGTAGGTTAAGGGCGCCACAAATGTAACTTTCATACACATACATACATATAGGTACAAAAATTATTTTCAAAAAAGAAAAATATATAGCTACACAAATAGATATGTATGGGCACAAAATTATAGGTGCGCAAATATATACATAGGCACATAAGTTTTTTACATAAGTTTTGACAATTCTGGGCTATTAGATTTGTATACTTTAAATGGTTGAGATGTAGTCTAATTAATTCTATTAATTTTCTTTATTAAATCCAAATTGATTTAAACAAATTATTAAAGGAAAACATGTTTCTCTCTCCTACCCTCTATTTCCTCATATTCGTCTCTTTCTCTCTCCACTAGTCTCTTTCATTTCAAAAAATTTCTGCAGTTCAAACATTCATCAATTTCTTTCTTCCTAGACTAGGGTATGACTTATGTCGTTCTCTTTTGGAAAAAAAAAAAGGACGTGAATAAAAAGATTAATAACTAAAATTCCAGTTAATTTGAAGAGGAAAATAAACTCGAGATGAACTTTAAAAAGAAAGAAAAGAGAAGAAACTTCATTCGAATCCTTGGCAAATATGATATTTAGACTAAAAACATGAGTATGAACAAAATCTAATTTTAGTCCCTTGATACATTAATCACCTCATTTATTAATTATATTTTGATTTTTTAATTATTTCTCTTTTTTTTTTCTTTCTAATTTTAATGTATTGATTATATTTCATTATAATTATATTTTTCATTTTATTCATCGTAATATATTTTGCTGTAAACATTTTAAATAAACTAATTTTTGTTAGAGAGAGATTGTCAGTGAGTGTGTGGTTTATGGGTTGGTGGCGTAAATAAGCAGTATATGGAGGGGTTAAGAGCATTAATAAGGTGAGAAGGAGGTGAATTTCAGCTCAAATATCAACTTCAGGTTCTGGTATTTTGATATACTTTGTCTTCTTTATGTAGGTACATTAAATTCATTATAATACATTTTGGTGTATATGTTTAGGTTCACACATTTCGATACAAACATGTAGTTACATTAATTCTATAATACATTTCGATACATACATTTTTAGTGCTTACATTTTGGTACACACATTTAGGTACATTAATTTAATATAACACATTTTGGTACTATCATTTAGGTACATTAATTGAGTATATTACATTCCGGTACTAACATTTAGGTACATTAGTTGAGTGTTTCAAGTTTGAAGAATGTTTAATAAAATTAATAAATTAAAAAAACTTTTTTTTTGGTCAAAAAATAAATTTAAATGTGTATATTAATAGAGAACTATTATTGACACTCCAAAATCTCATTCTACACTCTAAACTTCTATATTTGGAAAGAAAAATACACTTGTGAGGAGTGTAGACTGAGATTTTTGGAGTACCAATAACATTTCCCTATTAATAAATTTAAATATTTAATGGAAGACATTGAATGAAATACACATTAATTAATTTGAATTAAGGACTCACCAAGGGACTATAATCAATATGTAATCTAACACCAGATTTTTATTAAATTTCAATTTTCTTCAAGGATTAAAGTTAAAAAAACCTGAAGAAGGATAATGAAGAGAAAGGGTCAAAGAAGAAAGGAAGAAAATTAATAAAAACAATTAATAAGATGGAGAGAGAATAAAAAAAATCTTAATTAAAAGACTTTTAGAATTTCATTCCTAATCCATAATTATTTTAATAAAAAAAATTAATTGAATTAAATAGATTACATCTCAACCATTAAAAGTTTACAAATCTAATGGCCTAGAACTTATATCAAAATTTGTGTAAAAAATGTGGTGTTACCGATACGCCTTATGTGTGTCTATATATATGTATGTATGTGTGGAGCAAAAAAAAAAAAAAAATGGAGGCGACACGTGGATTCTTGGGGTTAAAAAGACAAAATTACCTTGAGGCACACCGGAACTCCCATGTTCAAGTAGCGGACAATCACGACTCAATCAAGGTCAAAAGTGATCAAAATAGGTATTTATTCAAAACCTATTTCATCCATCCTCATCAAATCATCCCCACAAGGTAACCCTCAATTATTCATTCAAATTAGGATTAATTATCTAAATTAATTGATTAATTTCTTAATTAATTAATTAATTTTCTAATTGATTGCAAGATATTTTTTTTGACATAATATCTTGCAATTACACTAAAAAACTACCATAAGTGGCCGGACCCCTTTTCTCCAAATAGGGGCTGGCCACACCTCTATAGATAGCTCTCATTTCTCCCAAAAACCTAATTCCAACTCTCTTCAAAATTCTCCAAATTTCTCTAAACACTTTTCCACCACCACGAGGCCCCACCTTGGTAGCCACCACGGAAGCAACTGTAGCAAACATCCTTGGCAAGGCCCACGGCCCTAAGGCCTCTGTCCAAGCATGCCATTCAAGCCCATACGAGCCCAAGCCTAAGGCGAGTCGACCCAAGCCCAACGCGAGCCCAACAAAATGCCGAGCCGAGCCTTAGCCTCACACCATCCACACGTAATCCAACTTACTCCCTTGGTGTCCTAATTTCCCAACTCTAATCTCGCTCCCGGAGTCTACCACACTTCCACTACCTAAGGAAACGCACTTTATCCAAGCTCTTCCAACCCAAATGAAGAACAACACTTGTCCCGACAAGTCATAGAGTTGACGAGCGCCCTTGCACAGTAGACGACCTTGGTGAATTAGCTTTTGCAGCACACTGAGATGCAATGTGCCCCCAGACGAGGTATCCCGAAATAGGACAAGGGCAGGCGAAGAACATCTCGAGCAGTGTCCTGGCAAGTAGCCACTCGACTAGCCACAAACCGCATGTTTTGGTAGTGAATACTCCCTACTAGGCCCCCGAGATAACATATACTACCATCTTAGCATGCTGAGGAGCGTGCATTC